GGTCTCCCAGACTGGTTTACTTGAATTCCATGCTCCAGTCCCCTCTCTGGTTCCACTTGTTCTGTGCACATGGAGATGGAACAGCACAAGCTGGACCCTGCTCCTCCCAGCACAGTGGTTCTGGGCCTTTTCCTTTTTGAAGTTACTTTAGCTGAGTAACACCCTCTGTGGGTAGAAAAGGCAAAGGGCGTTCCCCTTTCCTTTCCCTCCCATCAATGCTGCCTTGATGCCCAAGTAGCAGGGGCATGGCACCAGCCAGGAGCCTAGTGCAGAGTATGCTGAGCCTCTGTGTGCAGTACACCGACCTGGAGCTTCCTTAAGTTGAGTTCCTTCATGCTGGACTACTGAGGGGCAGGATCTCTTCGTTTTGCTGAATTCTCCCCTAATTTTAACAGGGGAATTAAATTATGGTCCAATAAACTTCTGGGTTGTTTTTTTCTGAGTACTTGTTGGCAGAGGAATAGCTATGGACAGTCCTCACCTGTGCAGACTCCCCTATGAGTCTTTCAGCCTGTAAGGTGTAGCAGCAGCACAGTGGCTACAGGTTGGACCTAATTCCCTTGTAGGGGCAGTGACTGTTGCCCCCTTATGTTTTAATGTGTGTTTGGTGCCTAGATCCTACAGTGATGGGGAGATTTGCTGGAGTGGGGAAGCCAGGGGGAAAGCTCTAGCCATCTGACTTAAAGGCCCAGCAGGGTCTTACCCACCCTCCTTTCTGTGGTTGTTCATTGTACAGTGCAGACACACAACCTTAACTTGTACAGTTGCAGGATCTGAGCATCTGCCTGCCTTACCTTCCTGCAGTTCTTCCCCTATCCCCTGTGCACCTCCTCCAGATCGTGCTCCCTGGGCTCTGAAATATGCACTGATGCTTAGGTTTTAACTGTTAAAATTGTCTTGGAGCAAAGCAGCGACAGCCTCTCCAGCTACTCTCTGTCTGAGGGAGAGGATGGCAAAGGTTGGTGCTATGGCCTGGTGCTCCTTCTGCTCTGAGATGGGAAGGGATTTCTCTTCTCTGGACTGTTCGTATTATTTAGGAGATAAGGGTATTAATGAGCTGTGTTTGTGGCTGGGCTCAGGGCTCAGCCATATGAGGAGGAGTGAAGTGGAATTCTTTCCCTCAACTAAATAAAATCAGACACCTGTATGTTCTCTGTCTAGTCTCTTTCTAGAATGGGCCTGGGGTGCTGGGCGGGTTTGTGCAGGGAGGAGTGAGAGGGAGCAGGCTGAGCAAATGTGGGCAGCTCCCCCTTCTGTAACATGGGCTACATGAGGGATGCTCTGTACTGGCTGGGCCATGGCTGTGTTCTGATTTGGGTTTTCAAATCACTAACCACCCTCTTCTCATCTAATTCTTTCCTGCCGGCTTATGCTGGGCTATGCAGCTTACTGGAATGAGGCAGCAGCGAGTGGAGAAGTGGGTGGTGGGTAGAGCAATCCACTTACTAGCAACCTTCCACCCTTGCCTTGGAGCTGAAGCTGGCTTGATTGGTCTAAGGACAGGCCAGGCCAGCCCTTGTGTGTTACACCCTAGTGTAAGTGGCAGCTCTATCAGTAAACTGCAAGTAAACATCAAGCCACCAGCTGGGGAAAGTGATGCCCCACTGTTTGGGGTTCCTAGAGAAACGAAGCTTAGGTGGAGCTAAGGTTGAGAGTTTAATGTAGTTTATTCTAAGCTACTACTCTAAAGGGATGTTTAAACCCTGGAATGTCAGTTAGGTTTTAAGTTTAACCACTACATGAATTTCCTGGGTTTATAATTCTTTGGGTTGGGATGATTATAATATTCCTGTAATGTAGTTTAGGGTAAACTATTAATCTGTACTCAGCCTTAAATTTATGTTGTTGTAGCTTTTGGTTGGGGGGGGAAGGGGGCACTGACTGAGCTTGTGAGGTCCTGACATTGAGTTGAATGTATTTCTCTGTTTGAATGTAATGTGGTAACTTTTGAATGCTGTATTTGATCACTTCCAAAATGCCAGGACTATTTTAGCTATCCATGTGCAGAACTCTACTGATTTTGGTGAAAATCAGTAAAGTGGCAGGGGCAAAAGGGGGCAGGGGAGATGCCTGGAGCTCCTGGCATCTGGCTAGTAGGGCCATTTAGCTTCATCCTGGTGTCTAATTGTATACTCATAATAGGAGCATTTCAACACATTCCATCATACGAATATCTCCATCACATCATTGCCTGTGCTCTCTGAAAGAGAAAGTATGATAAGAATTTGAGGAATGGAGGAGAATAAGGGCCTACGTCGAGGCCTGGGGTACTGTGGAGTGATGAGGTGCAGAGTCCCTGGGGTGGGGTTGAAGGGAGTCCCTGAAATAGAGGGAGAGGGGAGGATGGCATGCAGGGAGCTTGTGAGGGAAATGGAATGATGCATGCCATGAGCTTGGCCTGTAGAAGCTATGACATGAGCCAACCTGGTGTAATATGTGAACACTGAACAAACTCAGTATTACCATGTGCTATTTCTAATCAATAGAAAATATGAAGTGTCAGCCTTAAATCATTTTTAATTTTAACTTTTATAGCTAGATTCATTGGTACCCTCTGGAAGCAGCACAGCAGTTGCTTCAATTAATCTGGGTTTACAGCTGCTTTGTTTTGCCAGAGCAATGCAAATCATCTGGACTCTTCACCCCACTTTTCCCTTCCTTGCTGTCCTCTCGATTCCCACTGTTTCTCACACCTCCTTACACTCTTGTGTGTGCACACCAGTTTTCCCGTCCCTTCGCCACCTCCCTTATTATTCTGCACACCCTATCTGTTGAGGGGATCAGGTGCAAAGTGTGAAACTTTTCAAAAGATACTTAGGCTTGGCATCTGTATTTGCTGCTGTTCTCAGTAAAGGTCATCATGCAGAAGTGTCTTGTTTCAAAATGGCTGACAGCTCCCAAGTTTCTCAATGGGGCTGAAGCCACAGCTAACATCAAGGAACATTCTGTTTGAGAACAATGAGCGATCTTTCTCAAAATGGCTACCAACTGAGGGCCACTGTGGCTCAGGCCTCTGCCAACAATGGGCGATGGCAGTCATTTTGAAAAAGGGCAGTTCTTTGGAATTCTGATGGAGACCATTGTATGCTTCTCTGCTAAAGGAGAAACTTTCAGCTATGAAGAATAACTGGGGGGATATTACCATTAATCTAAAAGAAAATATTGAAATACAGCTGTGGTGAAAGAGTTCAGTGAGTTTTAATTATAGGGGATAGTTGTAGCATCTGTTACTCTGTCACATTATTGGGGGCAAAAAGTTTTGATTGCTAAATTTCTGAAGGACCCATTTTTAGTTTACCTTAATTTCTAAGCTAATTAAGAGTTTTACTTGTACATTCTCAGGAAGTTCATTCCTTACTCAAACTGCTGTAATTTTTGGAGGGATGGTCTGTGTCTTGCATACAGAAAAGGAAGACTGAATCTGTTTTGAGTTGAATTTTGCACTTAAATTTACTATAGATTTATTACTGAGCTATCCATAATTCAGTAATGTGTTCATGCTGCTGCTTTTGCTCCAGTGCAGAGGTTTTGAGTGATACTGTCGCTCTGAAACTTAGGTCTGAACTCTAGAGGTCCTCAATCTCTAGGTTTCAGAGGAACAGCCGTGTTAGTCTGTATTCGCAAAAAGAAAAGGAGTACTTGTAGCACCTTACAGACTAACCAATTTATTTGAGCATGAGCTTTCGTGAGCTACAGCTCACTTCATCAGATGTATACCGTGGAAACTGCCAATCTCTAGGTTGTGACTCTGTAAAAAAAACATCTCTGGGTTTCTGCAACAAGTTACCCTTTCGGTCACCAGGACATCAACTGAATGTGTTAATGTTTAACAGTGTGACCACAGGGCTCTCTGTTGAACTGTAGGAGAGGTGGGGAGCAGAATCCATTGCAGAACATGAGAAAAAACCTAAGCCCCTCCTGTCTTGAACTAATTTGCTCTGCCTTGTTTGGCCTCAAGCACCACTTCTGCCCCTCCCTGCCATATTCCAGGCTGTGTTCAGTTCTTACTGGGCTTGGGCACTATCCACCACGTCCTTGTAGAACATACCCTTACACAAGTGTGGATGAGGAAGTCACTCTGCCTCCACCTCAGGCAGCTGGAGAGCGTAGCTGGTGGAGCTTATTTTTGTGTGCTGGGATTGCCAGGGCTAAGACTAACCAGAGATAGATGCAAAACAGTTGAGCTTGTGAGGGAACAGAGATATTTCTCCGCACTCCACTGTAGCTACCCACCATGGCCACCTTAGGGAGGCAGTAGGCAGAAAAATCCCCTGAAACAGCTACCCCAAGCAGGAGTTAGGCTGGTACTTCAGAGCCAAGCTCAGGGCCTGTGCTGAGGCAATTCTGAGCCCTGGTTTGGGGGGTGGGTGTAGTGGGTGCCAGACTTATGGCTCTTGGCAGAGTGGGTGAGGTAGGGGCTGAGGTGCCGCTGGAGGTTGTAGGTGGGCTCTGCTGTGCCAACTCAGGTCCGATCAAAGTCAGGCATGGGGATGACAAACCAGCTTCGGAAAAAGGCAGCGGCCCGAGGGGCTGATCACAACAGCGAGGCACAGCTGGCCTGGCCAGGCCAGCCCCGCCCCACCCCGCGAGAGGGTCGGGAGGGAGGCGGTGGGCAACTCCCATAACAGCGGGAGGCTCTGGACGCTGTGAATGGGGTTCTGGGGACTGGAGGGGGGCCCGTGGCCAATAGGCAGGGAACAGGCCATGGGGCTCAGGGGCAGGGAAAGGGGTGATGTGATGTGGGGAGAAGCCCGGCCTGGGATCCCTTCCTCTCCCCTGGGCCTTTGCAGCTTCCGCGCTGGGCCTGGTTTGTGCTGGGGGGCCCGAGCCGCAGAGGAGCTTTTCTTCCTTCCCTCCCTCCGTGCCCGGCCGCCCCCAGCTCCCCATCGGGCCTTGGCGCGCGGCCCGCAGCGGGCTGCCTGGGGCAGAGGCGCGCGGCCGCGCACGTAGCGGTCGAACGCAACAACAGGCTGCTGCGACAGCTGCCCCGTGCTCGCGCATGCGCCAGTGAGACTGCGGAGCCGCGTGAGTCGGCCTGCAGCGGGGGCGAGGCTGCGTGGCGGGCGGGGTGGGGCCAACAATGCAGGGTAGCAGCTCTGAGCCCCTCCCCCTCATGGGGTCAGAGCCCAGGCTCCAGCCCAAGCCTGAATGTCCACGCTGCAGTTTCGGAGCCCCCCAACCCGGGTCAGCTGGCCTGGGCCAGCCTTGGCAGTGCCCCAGTCTTTGACTGCAGTACAGACGCACCCCAAGGTACTAGTAGGGTTGTGGAATAGGTGTGTGGGGTGGGGGTGGCTACACTGCAAGGAAAGGCCAGGGTTCAAACTAAGGTGCAAACCTAATTTCCCCCACCTACCATCTATACACAGATTAAGCTAACTCAAGGCTTGGACTACTCCTGGGGGAATTCTGGGGTATGTGCAGAATTCATGTCCCCTGCAGATTTTTTTTCCATATAGAATACAGTAACTCCTTACTTAGGGTGACCAGATAGCAAGTGTAGAAAATCAGGGTGGGGGGTAATAGGTGCCTATATAAAAAAAAGCCCCCAAAATCTGGACTGTCCCTATAAAATTGGGCCATCTGGTCACTCTATTCTCTCTTAATGTCCTAGTTATGTTCTTGAAAAATGTAACTTTAAGTGAAAGGATGTTAAGCAAATCCAGTTTCCCCATAAGCATTAATGTAAATAAGGGGTGGTTAGGTTCCAGGGAAATTTTTTTGCCAGACAAAAGACATTATATACATATACAGTATACCTTTTAAATAATACTGTACTCACCAATGATGATTGTGACGCTTGGTTGAGGCAGGGGCGTAGCGGAGTCGGGGCACAGGGGCTTGCCCACTCCCTGGCTAGAATGCTGGGTGGGTGAAGCAGGGCAAGTCCCCGCATCCTGACCCTGCTCCCCAGCAGGAGTGCCAGGCAGGCAGAACTGGGCAAGGCCCCATTCCCTGACTCTGTCCCCAGCAGGAGTACGGGGCAGGCGGAGTTGGGGGAGCCAAACAGTGTTATAAGGGAACATTGCAGGACTTTAAAGGTGTCTGTTCTCCAATAGGTCAGCGACCTAATAATGAAACAACGTTAACGTGGACGATGTTAAGTGACAGGTTTCAGAGTAACAGCCGTGTTAGTCTGTATTCGCAAAAAGAAAAGTACTTGTGGCACCTTAGAGACTAACCAATTTATTTGAGCATAAGCTTTCGTGAGCTACAGCTCACTTCATCCGATGAAGGTGCCACAAGTACTCCTTTTCTTTTTTTGATGTTAAGTGAGGAGTTACTGTAATATATTCTCCTGGAGTGGCACTGCAATTACACCTTTTGCCCACCAGGGGCTGCTGTGGCACCAGAAGAGTGAGCAGCTGGCTCACACACTGGAGCAGCCGGCAATGGAGAGGGAGAGCAGAGACTGCTTTTCTCACGGTGACATGCCTGCAGGGCCAGGTGACGGGGGGGGGGGCAGTATATGGGATGGATGGACAGAGTGGGGAACATAGGGCTGCTGTGGGAGTCACATAGACTAGGGTTCAGAAGGGCTAATGGGGGATAGACTGGGGTGGGGGCACAAGAGCTAGTGGGGTGATAGCATTGTGCCAGAGCTGAATGGGAGCGGGGTGTAGGGACACATGGGGGGAGGGCGGTGCAGGGAAAGTTGGGGATGGAGCAGATGTTCCTGAATGAGTGGGAGAACCAAGGGGCAACTAGGGTGTGTAAGGGGGAGGCTCCTCAATTCCCTAACAATCTTTCCCCCACCACTTCAAAGAAAAAACTATTTCATACTTCTCCCCGCAGCCACCCAACAACCTTCCAGGTTCGCTCCCAGGATTACTTCCTTCTCCCTCAGCTCCTTCGTTACCCTTGACTCCCCCAAGCCTTTGTACATCTTCTGAGGGGTGTGGGAAATATGTTTCTCTATTCTAGTTTAAATTAATTATTACTCAAAGTTCTATATTAATATGCCTAGTAAGGAATTTGTCAAAAAAACATGTCCTGAATCTTTTTTTGGTGTCTAAATTGTTACAGACAGACTTGCTGATTGGTATTTTGAAATAAATTACCAAAATAATTGAAACTGGTATGATTCTTTTGTTATTTTGACAAATAAAATATGCAGAATTTTAAAATATTGAGCACAAATGTAAAAAAAAAATTTGGCACAGAATTCTCCTGGGAGTAGCTTGGAACTAGGGGTGGAGGGTCCAAGCCTGAGTCAAGTGGAGACCTAGGCTTTATGCACTATTGCTTTGCCCACTGGCCTAGTATTCTGGGAGTCAGCCAAAAGTATCCCACAAACCCACAGGCTTACTTCCTTTGTTCTCTGGACAGTCAAGTTTGGTGGCCAGTCCAGTTTTTCTCCATATCGCACCATGAGTGAAGGGTTAGAGCAGCCACATTTTGGGAGGGCACTAGAAAGTCTGGGATATGGTGGTTGGACTCAGGTCCTCCCCATAATGCATTATAGACACTGGAACCACAGGTTGGGACTCAGAGTTCAACAATTCCTAACCTGGGGTTACAAATGAATGTAGATGCTCAAGCCTAAGGTGAACAAACTCCAGGTCTGCTAACTTCAGGTGTACTAGCCCTGGACTTACATTGCTACATAGACATAACCCCTAGTGCATGAGTTTAGGGTGGGCTGCATCTACACTGCAAAGCAAAAGGCTTGATCCCTGGGTCCTGGTTTGACTCAGGCTTGGACCCTCCATTCCCACGGGGTCCTGGGATGCTGGGTCTGAGCCCTAGCTTAGAAGAATTTGCATGTAGCTGGAAAGGGGGTTAGGCTTGGGCCCGAGTTTGAACCATAGATTTATACTGAAGTGTAAACATGCCCTAAAAAAATCTCATGGCTCTTCATTGATCTCCATCCCTGCTGTGGTAGTGGGGGGTCAGAATGCCCAGGATGGCTATTTGAAGACTTCAGTATCTGCCTCACACCAACCCTGTTGATGAAACAGTGTTAAATCTCTCCCTCTACCGGCCTGAGACATCGCCTTCACCCAGCATGCCAAGGATGCAGATCATGCTGCATGAAGTGATTAATCAGAGTGCTGAAAAGAGGCAAAAGTTCAGGCCTTCCTGGGTATTGCAGCAATTGTTCCTATAGGAGCACCAATAAGTCAGGGCATTTGAAGCAAAGTAGAACTTGAGCCTGAGTTGAGAGAGAAAGCTGGACTTTGGCTGTGTGATTACTAGAGGCCTAACCTTGTGGACTAGCCTCAGTGTTACCACGGGTGTCTATTCCCACAGTCCTTGCTACAGCTCACTAAAGCAGTGATTTCCAGAAGCCTTCTGGGAACGCAGGGGAATTGTGGGAAAAGGGATTAAACTCTAGGGAAATTCCCATAATTCCCAGCGGGAAGTACATTAAGCCCTAATGTACTGGCAGCATTTCTTAGAGCTTCCTCCCTCCCCCAAAAAGGAGGCTAGAGTGAATGCTGAGCTCCTGCTTGGTGAGCGAGGTTTCCTTAGGAGCTGCTGAAAAGCAGTCATGCAATATCAGAGGCAGCTGTGGTCAGGCAGTGCAGAGTGTTCTGGCAGGCCCTGTGGAGTGACAGACCAGCAGATAAGGTTGGTTTTGCTGGAATGGCCAATGCATCATAAGACAGGCTCAAAATTAGTCTTTCATTAGTGAGCACTGAATATAAACACATTGTAGACCCGTGCATAACATGAAACAAAAGGATAAGGGGCAGATTCATCCCTGCAGTGGTGGTAGGGCCACTGTAGGGACACAGGGAGTTTCCTTGATCTTTTGCCATAGAGTAATGATGAATCAGGCCTTATATGTGTCCATATCAATGACACAGCCTCCCTTAAATATGTAGTTACCAAAGCCAAGCTAACAGAAATAATACATTAAAATCAGTCTATAGGCCAGAGTTAAGGTTCTTGTGATGAACAATGCATCTCTTTGTGCTGGATAAGAATCATATGTTTATTATATGGAACGTGTAAGACCCTTAATTATTCATGCCTTTCCTTGCTTTTAACTGTGAGCAGTTTATACGTGGTTGGTAAGTACATTGTTCTCAGAAACTTTACCTGGTTTTTGAAACAAAGTTTGGTATTCAGAAGTATGTTTATTGAGTGCTGTCAGTGCATTTCATCCAGTATAGAATATAGTGGAAGACATGGGCCCTCTCTAGTATCGAGTTGACATAGAGAGAATAGTCCAAAGACTGTTCACATTGCACAGCCAGAGAATGTGGACACCCTCCCGTACTTTCTGCTCTCCTTGGGAACATGATCTCCACACCTGCTGGCTCCTTTATTGCCAGTTTGCAGGTTATACACTATCACTTAGGTTAGTTGGGTGTTCTGACACCTTCCTCCATTCAGCAAACACAGTGCTGTGAGCTGCATTAGCTAATGTGTTTGGGGGTGCTGACTCCTTCAGAGATGACACAGCAAAGTGGGAGCCCCAGACTTAGTATTCATCTTGCACTAAGTGCTTTATTCCCTCGATTGTGTAGTTACTCAAAGACAGACAGGACCGTTACAGCAGTTTAAATAAAATAAATTACAATACATAAATAACTTTCCTACCAGCTCTTCTCAGCTGGGGCTGGTGCAGGGGCACAGGCTGGGGAGGATTTGAGCAAGCTTATTCTTATAACAGATCGCTCTAGGGCCAAGTCCATCCTGATGCCATGAAATGGAGCCTAACTTTTGGCTGCGTAGCATTGCCCAATTTAATCCCAAACCTCAGATGAACTGCTCCAGGTGTTCTTCACTTCACAAACCTAGGGGAAGGGGGAAAGACTCCCTGAGAATCAGGAGAGTGAAACCCTGGGGAGATAACTAGCCTATGGGGCAGACCAAGGCAAATTATGAAACGCCAAACTCCGTTTAGGCCTCCAGGGCAGTGGAGACTAAACTGCTACAGTTCCATAGTCTGATTATCCAGTAATAATGCATAAGGGAGGGGGGTTCATTCTTGTAGGGGCAGAATCCAAGAGATGTTGACTCCACTGCTGCTATATTAGTGCCTGCACTCTCACAACAGATAACTGCGGTTTAGTGAAGATAACTCTGACCCTTTCTTTCCCCCTACGCACAAGACGCCATCCTATCTAACACAGTAGTTAGGACACTGTATGTTTGTGGACCACAAGGTCTGTGGCCAGGGAATTTATATGCTGTGTCATCCCAGATACTGGATTGAGGATAACAGGTTCTTCTCCCTAGCTGATGTAATTATAGAGAGGGTGGTCCCAGGGAGACAGGCTCTAGAGAGAGGGCTCCGAGAGGATAACCTAATACAACAGATGAGCCATACATCTATACTATAACTACAACTTGAGTACTACAATGGTATAGTACTTATTAACTGAAACCTTGTGTCCTTTTACTTTGGTATCTCTTAGACACTCCCTCTGAGGAGAAAACACTGATGGTGTGAAGAGGACAACAGCTAGGTCTTTTCCAATTTTAGGAACTTCTCCTGCCACTGCTCTCACACAGATGCAGCTTTGCCAGGAGTAATTATAGTAGAAGCACTAGTGTGGACCAGCTGCTAACCACCAGATTGTCTACATCAGGTCTGAGCAGAGTTACACAACAAAACACCCACTGTTGCTAGAATCTGTCCAACTGCACCAGGGTGAGACCAACAGCAGGAAATTTTCCTACCACTCTCTGAGTAAGAGGAAGATTGAGTGGAGAGGTCTTCCCAGAGCATGCTTCCACTGGTTTGTCTGATTTGCCAGCAGAGGGCAGCATAACTCTACAGCTGGAATCAGAGTAACAGCTGTGTTAGTCTGTATTTGCAAAAAGAAAAGGAGTACTTGTGGCACCTTGGTTAGTCTCTAAGGTGCCAGAAGTACTCCTTTCTACAGCTGGAAGTGGCCTCTGGATGAGAGATTCCTCAGCTAATTAGGGGATAGGAGAATGGTGTTGTTTTGGCTGGGATGGGATTGGTGGTCCTGGTAATGGGGAATGGTGTGGATGTACCTGCACCTAGATGCAGGTGCAGAATGGGTGGGACCCATCTTAAGAGCAATGCCCATCACCTTTCAGGATCTGGAATGAGGTGCTGTTCCCCCACATGAGCCTAGGGACAGCCAGGAGGGGGATTAGTTCTCAGAGGATTCTGTCTCGTCGGTGGAGCCATCGCTCTCTGTATCCACTTTCTGGCGGTGGTGAAGAGGTTTCCAGGGGGAGCTGATTCTGGGGGAGGTGCGGGTAGGCAGGTTCGCAATGTCCCCACTGGAGCCGGCTGGAGTGGAGATGGACAGCCCTGAAACCTGAGATAGTCTGAAAGAGAAATGACAAACCCCAGGTGGCCTAGTCTGTCATATTCACCCCTTACTCAGCAGCAGGTCTGGAGCAAGCCCAGGATAGGATCACAGATCCAGAGCTGATCTCACAGAACTAGTCCTGTAACACAGGGAGAGATGCTTACAGCAGACCAGGGAACGCTCTGCAGTGGCACCTGGCAGATGGATCCTGTCTGGCTTTTGATTCTGTCACTCCTTCCTCATGTTTCAATAGGTCAACCCCATGCTCTCGGTGTTCCTAAATCTCTGTCAGAAGCTGGGACTGGATGGCAGGGGATGGATTACTCAATAATTGCTCTGCTCTGTTCATTTCCTCTGAAACATTTGGCACTGTCCACTGTCAGAAGACAGGATACTGGGCTAGATGGACCACTGGTCTGACCCATTATGGCCATTCTTAGGTTCCTCTCCCCAAGTCACAGCCTCTACTTCCCCAACTGTCTTGCTATTTTCACCACTGCATGAGACTTGATCCTCCACAATAAAAGGTCCTTTGCTTGGGGTTCTCCACTGCCTCTGTGTCTCCCTGCAGACAGGTCTCTTCTCTGCATTTGAAGACCATCCCAACAACTTAGTCTGCTACACCTAGGAACACTCCACAAAAGGGCCTTTGCTGCCTAGGCTGAAGGACTGCCTCATCAACTGCTCCATTGTCCTATGGCTGGGTGAGAGGAAAGGGGACAGCTCCCAACCCCAGGCTCCCATCATGCTGCCTTGGATCTGCCACCTTCCTTCCCACTCTGGACAACTGCACTTACAACTTCTCCAATTCCTGATCCATGGGAGGGTCAAGAAGCAGGTCTCCTTTATCAGGCAGAGCCCCTGGAAAACAGCAGCAAGAAAACACTCAATGCAGAGGGTGGCCATGTGGGAACAGGCTCCATGCACAATAGAGTTCAAGGACTCTATAGCATAGAGCTATGCAGTATCAGATCTACAAAAGAGGAGGCCCTCCTTCCCACCTGGTCTATGGCTGTACACTGTTCAGTGACACAGCCCAGCTCAGCCTGAATGTAAGGCGTTGTCCGCACTAAGGCACAGAAGTCTTTGTGACCTGTGCATGGCACACTCGGCTGATGCGACACAGCCGCCTTTTTCACAGTACAGCCATGTGTCAAATGTGTTTGCACAGTCACACTCACGAGGCCGCCTGACTCTACTGGTATCAGAGCATTCTGAGAAAATCCAGGCAGCTATCCCAGAGTGCTGCAGCAGGGGACAGAATACCCAGAGGACATGCATAGAGAGCAGTACTAGCAGTACATGGGGCATGCACTCTGGGATGTCCTACCACACACAGAGCTGGAGAAAAGAGGACGAGCCAAAAAAGTTACACAGGCACGATTGGGGGTCCCAGCCACTGTGCAAAATAACTGTACAAGGGCCTGGTCCACTGCCAAACACAGCACCCAGTTAGCAGCTATAGTCACTATCAGAGCATTGACCCTGTTCTGTGGGCACAAACCAGCTTTAGAGCAAAGTATGTCACTGACTGTTACACACTCAGGTAGCAGTTACAGCATAGACAGGGCTGAATCTCAGAGACTCAGAAATTTGTGGCTGGGAGAGCAGATTTGTCAGTGCTTGTGGCAGCTCTGAGCTCAGGCCTGGGGCTAAACCATTCCGCACCCCAGACAGCACCTCTAGTATATTCCCAGGGACAGGAAGGCTGTCAGGCCCAACCCTGGTTTTCTATGAGATCTGAGGAACTGCAGATAAGTGGATGGGCCACACTCTGTCAGCAGCTGCTGCCAGGGTGCAAGAGGGATGGGCCCAGTAGGATGGGTCAGAGATCATCTCCCCCATTTCTCACTGTAAGACCAGGATATTGACGAGGGCATGTTAACTGGGGCTGGTATATCCCTATTCAGGATGAGGCATGTGCAGTGTGGTCAGGTGACTGTGCCTGTTGATGCTTCAGGGTTCACACTGAGTTACACTGGAAAGAAGGGCAGCAGTCTGTTAGGAAGTCCCTTCTTCTAAACCTGTGGTTAACTCCCCCCTGTACACAGATCCAGGAAGGATGTGGGCCAGGCCAACACAAAGAGGATAGGAACTGCCTTGCCCTGGCCAGGACACTGCCAGAGCAAAACCCCAAGTATAAACAAGGCTTCAGAACAATTGCAGAGCTGGACCAATGGCTCAGTGGGGTGTGCTTTGCTGTGCATGAAACCTAGACGCCACAGTCAGTGTCTTTGGGGTAAGTGCTTTATACTACTATGTGGGAGATCTGGATTTGGTTAATAGCCCTGGTCTCTTGTTCCCCAAGGAGGCAGGGCCTGGGGATTCATGCACTCCTTTATAGGAGCCTTGTCAGAGGCATTCAGCTACTGCAGTGATGGGCACCAAATAAGAACCCACACCAACGACAGCTGACCCTCAATTTATTCCAGTTTGGGGGGGGCCCCCACAACCACCAGAGAAGCCAGATGCTCTAGTGCTCCTGTCACCATGACCGAGAAGCCCAGGAGTGCTCCAACCTGCTGCTTGCCATGGGCTTAATTAGAAAAATAAGTCAGATAAAGCCTGGGCTTGTTTCTGCATTTGCAGAACATGTAGTGAGGTCTCTGGGGCACTTGAATTACTTGGGAGAATTGGTAAATAACTCTCAAAAGGATTCATGAATCAATATTGACACTGGAGTTAGGCTGCGGATTCCAATCTGCCTGACAAACTCATCAATGGTGCCCCAGCCAGAATAAATCACTCTAATCCCCATCCCTATTCTACTAGCCCGGCAGCTTCCTGCGAGGCCCCAGTGAGACTAAAGAACACAGGGCCCTGATTGAAAGCTCCTTTGCCTCTGAAGCTCTCGCCTGGAACTGCCCTTGCTGCAGGGCATTGGGGAGCCTGTGATCCCCTGCAGCCCAAAGACTATTCAAATCATCATGCAAGAAAGCTTAAAAGACAGTAGGAGAAGAATCCTTCTTCCTTGCCAAGATGCTGCACCTGTTAGACTTGCGGCTGCTACCCCTCCCATGAGAGGCCTCAGCAGCAGGCTGGCAGGGGGCCAGAGGCCAGGGCTGTGTTAATGGAAAGGAAAACCCACAGACTTTGAACAAGGTACAATGGAAGCTGTGGGCAGGGATTTCTCAGCCCATCTGTTTTTTTTCCACCTTGCTGGAAGTGGATTTCATAGAGCTAAGGGGAAAAAGCCTTGCTTGGTGCAATCCAGGCATCACCTTCTCCAGTGAATACACTGTTTTCTAAGTCTGTTCGCAGAGGGGATTGCTGGGTTGTATTCATGTCCCTTTGATATATAATCTCTGTGTTGTTTTTTGTTTGTTTGGTAAACAGCCCTGCCTGAGAGGAGTATTCACAGGTCAAATGGTCTGTAGAGGGCGGAGGCTCAACCAGGCTCAGCTCTCTGCCAAGACACACACCTGTGAGAAGGAGCAGGCATTTCACGAAGGGGAAGCTACTTTCCCCTGAGGCTCTTCTCTGAAGTATGGGGACTATTGGAGAATCAACCCTGGAACTAGAGGGAGAAACTGTCCAATAGGATGGAAGTCCTGTTGATTGGGTCTCATCATGTGAAGACTAAGAGGTGGAAAGCCCCAGGCATCCAGATATTCCTCCTAAGCCCTGAGACAGCCTTGGGGTTACAGGTTCAGCCTGCTAAACTCAGCCAACAAGTGACCTCTGTTCACTTTTGCGGAAGGGAAGGGGAAGCACAAGCAAGGAACAGGGGATCTGCATGGAATAAAGAGTTTGAAATCTATAAAAATGAGGCATAGGCAAGGAGTAGTCCAGTTCCCCTGCTCTTGGATAACACTGACCTGTGCATCAGAGGAATGGGACCGAGCTGTGAGAGGCCATGTGCTCTGCACCACCCAGGGCTGACACTTTACAGCCAGCCCCCTTCTTCCCCTGGGTTCCAACCCAGTCTGGTGCAGAATTCTCCAGCAGCTTCAAATATGTTCACAATGGGAGGATGTGACAACATTAAATATGACCCTGAACAAGCCAACCAATTCAGTTTCCCTTGTGCCTTTTTCTGACAATAAATTCAATGTATTTTACATAGGCCCCACATCTTTAATATTGCACAGGTTTTTGAACTGACAACATATAACTGCCTTGGAGGGGTTATTTGGGAAAGCTGGAGGCTCAGCAGTTGGGGTGGGAGACAGTTGGGAAGGTCTAGGAGGCAGTTTGGTCTTTGGCCCCAGGGAGGTATTGGGGATGAGGATGCATTTTTTTCTTCCTTTTCTCTTGTAGCCAAAGATGAAGATCATTTAACATTTGGGGGAAAGGAGACTTGAACTCAGTTCCCCACCCTAGCAACTTCTGAGAACAATGAGCGGTCTTACTCGCCCCCGATGCACTACCTGTGCCTTCCAACATGAATGGATAAACACATTAAATTAGATGGATATTTCTGTTAAAATGATCAGCAAGTAAATAGTTAACAGTACTGCTATTATCGGTGTCAATGTCAACATCTCAAATCTCAATACTCCCTAGACCTATTGTTTCAGGCATTCTGCAGACTCAGACAGATGTTGCTGCATCGGACTATGTTTTCATTTGTTTCATAAGGTTTCATTTGTGACCACAAGGGAGGGAGACCTTTATTTTCAATGATAATTTAAAATCTGCTGCATGATTCTACAGAAAATTCCACAAAAAATGCAGAACCAGGAAAAACCTAGGGCCATATCCACAGGGCTCTGCTCCTCTCCTTACCTAGGGCTCTGTTGATCCCATGATGCTTTGCAAGAGCCATAAGGAATCCATAGAAGGTCAGTCTCTGTACACTGCTCAGCACCTCTTTGACAAGGGCAGATGGGGGACAGCTAGATGGAGAAGAAGAGGGAGGAAAATAAAACCTGGCATGAATCATAGAACATCTTCATCCTTCTAACTCCCTGATATCTGACCACCCTGAAGCAGCCCTAGCTGTGCTCCCTGACTATATCCTCCTGGAATGGACTGGAGGAAGTAAACTGGTACTGCCACCTGTTGCCTTTTGCTAAGCAAGACCTTCAAGCTAGGGTAGATCCCCAAAATCAGTGATAATTGCCTTCAGTCCAAGGAGAGGAGAAAGCCTTCTGGAAGGGCACATTCCATCTACCTGGACAAATAGGAATCTTAGCAGATGAGGATACAGAAATCTGTATCTGTAAGGCCTGGTGTTCTTCTATGCTGTGCTGAAGGAAGAATAGTCTTGTAGACTGGGCACCGGACTGTGACTCTGGTGATCTATGGGTGTACTGCTGCCTCTAATAGACTCCCTTGGACAAGTCACTTGTTTGTTCGGTGCCTGAACTCCTCATTAGTACAATGAGTTAATGATAGATCCAAGCTCCTGGGGCTGTTGTGAGAACAACTTTATGAATGTGCCTGGGTGCTCAGATACCAAGACGATGAGTACCACTAAAATACCTTCCATAATCAAAGCATACTTCTAACAAAAAGAAAAGGAGTACTTGTGGCACCTTAGAGACTAACCAATTTATTTGAGCATAACCTTTCGTGAGCTACAGCTCACTTCATCGGATGCATGCCGTGGAAAATACAATGGGGAGATTTATATACACAGAGAACATGAAACAATGGGTGTTACCATTCACACTGTAACAACAGTGATCAGGTAAGGTGAGCTATTACCAGAAGGAGAGCCGGGGGGAGGGGGGGGAACACCTTTTGTAGTGATAATCAAGGTGGGCCATTTCCAGCAGTTGACAAGAACGGGTGAGGAACAGTACGGGGGGAAATAAATATGGGGAAATAGTTTTACTTTGTGTAATGACACATCCACTCCCAGTCTTTATCCAAGCCTAAGTTAATTGTATCCAGTTTGCAAATTAATTCCAATTCAGCAGTCTCTCGTTGGAGTCTGTTTCTGAAGTTTTTTTGTTGAAGAATTGCTACTTTTAGGTCTGTAATCGAGTGACCAAAGAGATTGAAGTGTTCTCCGACTGGTTTTTGAATGTTATAATTCTTGACGTCCGATTTGTGTCCATTTATTCTTTTACGTAGAAACTGTCCAGTTTGGCCAATGTACATGGCAGAGGGGCATTGCTGGCACATGATGGTGTATATCACATTGGTAGATGTGCAGGTGAACGAGCCTCTGATAGTGTGGCTGATGTGATTAGGCCCTATGATGGTGTCCCTTGAATAGATATGTGGACACAGTTGGCAACAGGCAACTTCTGGGTACTCTTCTGGCTCTGTCAATCTGTTTCTTCACTTCAGCAGGTGGGTATTGTAGTTGTAAGAACGCTTGATAGAGATCTTGTAGGTGTTTGTCTCTGTCTGAGGGGTTGGAGCAAATGCGGCTGAATCGTAGAGCTTGGCTGTAGACAATGGATCATGTGGTGTGGTCTGGATGAAAGAGCCAGAAGAGTACCCAGAAGTTACTTACTACAGGACAGGCCCAACAAAGAAAATAACAGAACGCCAGTAGCCGTCACCTTCAGCCCCCAACTAAAACCTCTCCAACGCATCATCAAGGATCTACAACCTATCCTGAAGGACGACCCATCACTCTCACAGATCTTGGGAGACAGGCCAGTCCTTGCTTACAGACAGCCCCCCAACCTGAAGCAAATACTCACCAGCAACCACACACCACACAACAAAAACACTAACCCAGGAACTTATCCTTGCAACAAAGCCCATTGCCAACTGTGTCCACATATCTATTCAGGAGACACCATCCTAGGGCCTAATCACATCAGCCACACTATCAGAGGCTCGTTCACCTGCACATCTACCAATGTGATATACACCATCATGTGCCAGCAATGCCCCTCTGCCATGTACATTGGCCAAACTGGACAGTCTCTACGTAAAAGAATAAATGGACACAAATCGGACGTCAAGAATTATAACATTCAAAAACCAGTCGGAGAACACTTCAATCTCTTTGGTCACATGATTACGACCTAAAAGTAGCAATTCTTCAAAAAAAAACTTCAAAAACAGACTCCAACGAGAGACTGCTGAATTGGAATTAATTTGCAAACTGGATACAATTAACTTAGGCTTGAATAAAGCCTGGGAATGGATGTGTCATTACACAAAGTAAAACTATTTCCTCATGTTTATTTTCCCCCCTACTGTTCCTCACCCGTTCTTAAAAAGAAAAGGAGTACTTGTGGCACCTTAGAGACTAACCAATTTATTTGAGCATGAGCTTTCGTGAGCTACAGCGAAGTGAGCTGTAGCTCACGAAAGCTCATGCTCAAATAAATTGGTTAGTCTCTAAGGTGCCACAAGTACTCCTTTTCTTTTTGCGAATACAGACTAACACGGCTGTTACTCTGTCACCCGTTCTTGTCAACTGCTGGAAATGGCCCACCTTGATTATCACTACAAAAGGTGTTTCCCCCTGCCGCCCCCCCCCCTCCCCCCCGCCCCGCGCTCCTGCTGGTAATAGCTCACCTTACCTGATCACTGTTGTTACAGTGTGAATGGTAACACCCATTGTTTCATGTTCTCTGTGTATATAAATCTCCCCACTGTATTTTCCACGGCATGCATCCGATGAAGTGAGCTGTAACTCACGAAAGCTTATGCTCAAATAAATTTGTTAGTCTCTAAGGTGCCACAAGTACTCCTTTTCTTTTTGCAGATACAGACTAACATGGCTGCTACTCTGAAACTTGTCATACTTCTAACAGGCATCTTTGTGAGCCATGGCCCCTCCCTGCAGTGCTAGTTTGCTGCTGGAGCACTATGCTTGAAAGCCTTTTGCTTCCCCACAAGCTGCCTGGTGTTATACTTAGGACCCTACCAGATTCACAGTCTATTTTGGTCAATTTCATGGTCATCGAATTTTTAAAATCGTAAATTTCATGATTTCAGCTATTTAAATCTGAAGTTTCATGATGTTGTAAGGGAGGTTGCGGTACTGCTACCCTTACTTCTGCACTGCTGCTGGTGGCGATGCTGCCTTCAGAGCTGGGCAACTGGAGAGTGGCGGCTGCTGGTCGGGAGTCCAGCTCTAAAGGCAGAGCCGCTGCCAGCAGCAGCGCAGAAGTAAGGATGGTATGGTATCGTATTGCTACCCTTACGTCTGCGCTGCTGCTGGCAGGACGCTACCTTCAGAGTTGGGCGCCTGGCTAACAGCTGCCGTTCTCTGACTGCTCAGCTCCAAAGACAGCACAGAAATAAGGGTGGCAATACTGCAATCCCCTTAAAATAACCTTGTGACCCCGCCTGCAACTTCCTTTTGCATCAGGACCTCCAATTTGAGAAATGCTGGTCTCCCCCATGAACTCTGTATAGTATAGGGTAAAAGCACACAAAAGACCAGATTTCATGGGGGGAGGCCAGATTTAGTGGCCCATGACGCATTTTTCATGGGCATGAATGTGGTAGGGCCCTAGTTATACTGTACACTGCATCTTAGTGACTAGCTACTGCACCTATA